AAGGCCGCGCCTGCCACTAGGAGGTGGCAAGGTGCCAAAAAATGGCAGAAAAAGTAAAAATGAGGACATTCATAACTTAACTGATGGTGCAGATATCGTGTAACTTACCAAAGTTTTAAAAATTAGGCAATGACCTCCTTATATAAGACTCTCAGACTTACCAACTTCGTCTACCAGTCAGTGTTATAACACAGAAAAAAATATTAGAGACTACGGTCGTATACAGTATCAGTTCCTAATCGGCAAGGCATCTCATCGTGATCTAAAACAGTGGCAGTTGTTCGAGTTGAAACCGAAACGCTCAGAACGCCTTTCGAAAGAGCTAAAGCCTTGCTAAGTGCTTCTGCAGGGAGAATCATCAGAGACTAATAATCCTCTAAGAAGGCGAAGTAAACATCATAACCACTAGTACAGTGATCACTAATCAATTCGGTCGGTACTGGTTGTTTAATTGAAAAATTAACCAGCTGAAGAGCTGGAGAAACAGATTGTGAATTATAGCCAACTCAAAATAGTCCAAATATCAAATCAAAATGATCAAACGAGCCTTTTGGCCGTCCGCAATCAGCTGTTTGACGCGCTGTGTGTGTAGTGCCAAATCGGCTTCAAAAGCATCGTGCTTTTTCAGCAAGCCCTGCACACCGGCCATATTTTCCCCGTAGTTGTCGGACGAGAGAATCTGCTGCTTCTCGTTCATCCAGGCTTCCTCTTCCTCCACTTTACCAATGAAAATTTGGAAATCCTCACTTTCACCCAGTTTTTGCTGCCTACAAAAGAGAAAATTTTGTCAGCTATAAAATTCGAATTTAGCAACCGTCCATGACACTTTGGACTTAAAGATAGCAAGTCCGCAAAGCCGGGTCGAATGAAATCTCTGTCCAAAAATCATAATGTGCGGAAAGACCTATGAAAACCGCTGCTTGAGAATAAAAGAATGACATAATTGCTGATGAGCAGCGCGTCGTATTTTCTTAGGCCTACCAATCCAGTTATGATCCAAGAATTTTGCATTTTTTGAATATGCAAAACATCCAAAATGCAAAAGTTGGTCGGTAAGTTGTACGAAAAGAATAAAATGTGTAAATTCTGAGCATAAGATTAAACGTGCATTCCTGAGAAACAACAATAATCAAAAAATTAATAAATTTTTATGTTAAAAATCCTTCCAGCTCAACTTATTCTATCCAAAAAAAAAAATACGCAGAAGAAAATGGTAGTACTACTGGAGAAATGCATCTCGGAACTGAAAAATCTGGCAAAACTGTGTTCAACGAATAAGGTTATTACAGGAACACTGACGATTCGCTTTTATAGATAACGAAATCCAGTGCTAATTAATATTATCTGCTCCCCCAAACCTCCCTCCCTCCCCTGCCCCCTCCCTTCGCTCCGCTGTGTTTTCTCGCTGTCTTCTGCTCACTTATATTTTACGGTGATAACGTGTACCTCTTCCCAGTGATATTTCGAATTTCATCCCAGCTTTCCTCCAACGCTTGCATGCGCCGTCGAATCTCCGGGCCAGCGGTATCCGTGAGACTGACCAATTCCAGGCCTCGGTCACGAACCAGTTGCACCTGGGGTTCGTGCGAGGCCAGCTCATTGTCAAGCCTGCGATGTTTTTTACGCAGATTTTGAACGCCTGTCAGATCACGGCCATAGTCGTCGCTTGAGACGAGTAGCTTCTTTTCCCTAAAAATACAGCAAAAATTTTAGTTTCCTCTACTTTCCGCAGGATATAATTTCTGCACAGAAACATGTTTCCTACATGTATAAAAACAGAATTTCGCATTTTCTGCCAGTACAGACCCATCAGTTTTCAATAATTTCATAGAGGACATATCATCATAAGGAAGTAAAGCTACGAATATTTGATGTCAGCTGTTTTGTAAATGGCCATGGTGCCATAAATGACGCTAATTCAGCCGGCAAAAAAACAAAAAAGACCGAGTTATGCTCCAGTATAGCAAATAAACTTACTTAATCCACGATTCTTCATCATCAATATCACGCAAAAACTGGTAA